TATATTTCTGAGGTAATGTTTTTATTATTTCTGCAGTGTCTGGTGGACCCTGATGCATCTCAATCTGGTAATTCACTTCCCTTAGAATGCTGTGAAATTTAAGGGTGAGATGGTAGTCCTGCTGAGCTCAAAACTTCTGATACATTGGGTTTAGGATTGTCTCTTCTGTCAGAGAACCTTACTAATGAAGTATGTGGTTTGAATACCTGAACAACCCACCCTGCTAGAAGATGCCACCTTGCTGCCCATCATGACCCCTGGGAAGGGCCAGCTTCCAGGGTGCTCAGGGCAGACTTTTCATCTCCATTACAATGAAAGCTTGTTTTGCTTCCCATAATCTTTGCACTTACCCTTGGTGGAAAACTGGTCAAGAGCTTCAAACTTTAAAAAAAAGGCAACCACTCTAAGACAACCATTTTTTCAAACTTGGGCAATTACATCTAAAACTTTTTCTATGAATTTTCTCAAAGCTTTGTGTTGTTCTGGGTTTTGGGGGGGTTGAAAAATCTTTAGTCCAGGGCATGCTTGGAAATTATGGCATATTCTTAAATTTCCAAATTTTGCTACTTTGGCACAGGTTAACCTAAAGCTGTTTTCTTCATTTAGAAGCACTGCCCTTAGCACCACAGAATTTCTAGATTTAAAAGGACAAGGGCAGCCCAGCTGGGTATGGCTCAGTGGTTGAGCAGCAACCTAGGACCCAGATCTCATTTCAATTCCCAGTCAGGGCACGTGCCCGGGTTGCAGGATCAATCCCCAGTAAGGGATGTGCAGGAGGCAGCCAATCAATGACTCTCTCATATCATTGATGTTTCTATCTCTCTCGCTCCCTCTCCCATCCTCTCTCTAAAATCAGTAAAGATTCATTTTTTTTAAAAAAAGGACAGGGGCAGTTTTTATGTGTTTCATTCATACAGCAGAATTAGAGTTCCCAACTCTCCAGTTTACATTCCTACACACAATCATTCATTGCCTACTGACTCTTCAAAGGGTGTGCTAGCTGATGGTAATTTGAGGGTTCCATAACTGTTGCTCCATAAAGCAGACTCAAGAAGTAATGAAGACAGGGAGACTTTTCACCTAACAGCTCAGAAAAAAAAATGTTTGCCAATTGTCTCTGGGTGAGGTTGTGAGGAAACAGGCAATCTTACATATATTGTTGCTGGGTGTGAAATTATTTCAACCCCTTCAGAAGGCAAGTCAGTAATATCAAAATTATATATGTTCTTTCCCTTAGGACCAGCATTCTCCCTCTGGGAATTTAGCCTACAGTTGCTTGATGGACAGGCCACATTTGTCCCTTTCAGAAGACAACTCATTGTTAGTTTTCTCTCCCATTATTGGTTCATCTCTAAGAATAGTTAATACTTGCTACTGTGTGATGCCTGTTCTAAGTACCCAACATATATTAACAGCTAAACCTCACAACTTCCTGTGGGGTTAGATGCTGTTATCTTCAATTTGGAGTCTGAGAGGGTAGAACAACTTGGCTAAGGCCATAGGGCCAGAAAGTTCCCTAAGTGGGACTCATTTTGGTTTGGAGTTACCAAGTTAGTCTCTACTGAGGAAAACTGTAGTCCCCATTCTGACGACCCCTCAACAAAACCCCACCTAGGGTAACACCTTCATCTACTCCCAATTTCACATACCTTTTGGGGGCCTAGTACAGCAATTCTCTAAGTGTGGTGGAGAATCCCAGGGACCCTTTCAAGAGGTCTGTTAGGTATGTGGAAAAGGGGAACATATCTGTAAGGCTGAATTTTCTTCAAACTCCAACCTAAATAACATTCTGCAGCCTACTGAATGAAGATGAGAATAGGACTGAGTTTACAAGGATATAAAACTGCTACACTGAGTAGGTACTGGCGTCTCTGTATTTGTTTTGTAGAATATTTGCTTTTCATTTTATACATGTTATGTTAACCTATTACAGGGCTGTTATTATCATTGTTAATTCTCACCTGAGGATATTTTCCCCCATTGATTTTTAGAGAGAGTGGGAGGCAGGGGGAGAGAGAAACATTGATGTGAGAGAGACATATCGATTGGTTGCCTCCTGCACACACCCCACCCAGGCAAGGGATAGAGCCTGCAACCCTGGTACACACCTTTGACCAGGAATTGAACCCGCCACCAAGTAGCAGGCCCACACTCTAACCACTGAGCCACACTGGCCAGGGCAGGGCTATTAGTTTTAAGAGTACAGGTCAGTTCCAGACCATATCACATCTCCCTTAGATTGACAGGTTTTTGGTTGGAGATGCATCTCAAAACTTGGCTCCTAGACCCCATCCCCCCCCCCCTTTTTTTACCCTAGCCTAGTGTGTTCTTAGACCTCCACACCTAGCTTTGGGGGCAGGGGAGGGGTGCTCAGTTAAGGCTTAAGTACAAGGTCCCCTTTAACTGTGATGTTATCTCCAGTACTTAAATCACATGTAAAGGAACTGTTTATTTAAAATTTTATTTTTTAATTAGCAACCTTGGGAAAAAGTCACATCAGGACTCAGAGGCAAATGCAGAAACCCACAACAACCTGTCTTCCTTTGTCACGCTAGAACAGAATTTAAACTAGGCCAGACCCACTCCAGATCTGGCCACAGCCTACTGTCCACATCCTGGTCCCAGGTACGTTGGTTGCAAACTGGCTTCATTTCATAGAAGGGCCTAGCTCGAGGGAATTCATGGCGTCCTCAAGTTTGAGCATCCCTGCACCAGAAAACAATAGTAGGGGTGTGTAAGGAGAGGGCAAGAGCCTAGCCAGTGCTCAGCCTCTTTCAAGGTCCTGGCCTTACGTTCTGGGCCGGGGATTCTCCGGAACCTCAGAACGTGGGACCACTGGGCCCTTTCCAACATCTTCCAAGAAACTGG